GGTTGTGCGGGTGGTTGTCGCAGCAGTTTCGAGGTGTGTTTTGTAGAAGGCCAAGTTTATCAGTGAGGGTCAGGGTGGACTCCCCAGTTGTTTCTCAAAAGGCATGGTCCTCACATGGCTCCATGATTGTCCTCCATGATCCTTGGAGCTAGAGTCTCTACAAATACACGGTCCGTTGTCCTGGGATTCTCTCTACTGAATGATCCTTTTCATTCCAGGGTTTCAGTGAGATCCTTTTCTATTTCCTAAGTCTGTGACCGCTGAATACCGTTTGTGCAGTCCAGTCCTCTTGGAATTTGCGGATTCCCTCCCGGTTTTGCGTTTAGAACATCATTTGACCCATTGCCACGGCACGTGCCACAATGAAGTGATGGGATGAGAGGTTACTAAGCCAAGCCAAGTAATTCAATCTTGACTATGAAATGGGTGTATCCAATGTCATTTGTCAAATGAAGCGGTGAGACCTGACGTCATTGGATTGTAGGGCTCTGATGTTTCTGGCTAAATCATCCCCTCTACGGCGGGTATCTTCCAAGCTTAAGCATAAACACGCTCCGACATTTTGATTATTTTGGCGTGTAAACAAGTCCTTTTACAACTGTTTTTGACTGCAAAAGCCGAGCATGAACATTGATCACTGCGAATGACATCCAGCCATTTTGGCATGTACCCCCAAAATGTGGGCCAACGTCACTTACGCGGACCTTCGTTTTCGTTAAAACCGTTGCGACCATGGGTTCGCATGTCACCAAGGATGAGCAGCCGCACGGAAGTCTCTGTGGCCCCTTCCCTTCGCAGTTCAATGGGGCACCCGCCTGGGTGCGGGTTGACGTGGAGGGGTATTGTTCTCCTGATTGTTTGATATGCAAGTGACCTAGGACCTTCTCAAAATCCCAAAGTTTGCTCTTTAAAGCCTTGCAAATCCTTCAGATATATGTCATTAGGTCTACTGGCCCAGTTGCGGTGGTGGTTGCTGTTGTTGTTGTTGCGGCTGTTGCTGCGGCGGCGGCGGCGGTGGAACAAATGTCTAGCGACGAGTCTAGGGATTCTAAAGATGTCCCGGAGCGATTCAGTGACCACCGGTGTTGGCCCTATTTCGCCCATAGTTCTCTTGCAAGTGACGATAGTGACGGCATTTGGAGCTGACCGTGGAATCCGCCGGGTGTTGGATCCATCTGGGTGCTTGCCGAGGGCACCATGCAGACGATCCGGGTCAAGCAAACTGACTCACTCTATTCGCAATATAACATGCACAAAGAATCCACGACCGTGGTAAATTTTTGATCCGCAGTCAAGTGTCGGATTGAGTTCCGAAGGGCACGAGTCCCTTCCAACCATCCTTTGTAAAGCAGGGGGTCCTGGCACTGGGCGGTCTGGGTCGAATTGCAGTTTCAGTTCGAACATGATCGGAACTATTTTTGGAAGACCCAGCACCTCTCCTTGGATCATGATTGAGCAGTATCGTCACTGTTCAGGTTTCACCCGTATTTTTGTACAGCTCTGGGATGCTTAGCCACAGGCTCTAGGTGGCTCCGGTGCAACCAGCCGGCTGGAGTCCACCCGAGCCGTGGACGGGGCCAAAGCCGAGGATGAAGAAATTCATTTTCTGAAGAAAAGGGTTCCTTTTGCTACTAGGAGCGAAGGGCATCGCTACTAGGAGCAAGAAGCTTTCAGGTTGCAGGCCATCGCTCTTAGGTTGGAGGCCATCGCTACCTAGGGTGGAGGCCATCGCTTATACTGTATATGAAGATTGTGAAGAGAATTTATCCTGGTACAACTTGGAAATTCATTTGCGGTCATAGGTCGGAGTGATGCTTGGCAGATTTCCCCCAAACGATCTGACCTAAAAAACATCAGATCATCCAGGCTTTGGTGCCGACTGGGCTGGGTTGTGTTGTCGCTCCTTTTGAAAGGCGCAGACAGGACAGGCCCAAGCGCTTGGTTTTCGGCAGTTTTCGTCAGACACGGGGTTTCCAAGCCAAAGAAGCGCTTCCGACGCACGCTTCATGCTGAGTCAGGTTTCCGGCTTCCGGCCCTTTTTGGCTGGCCTTTTTTGTCGTGCATGGGGTTTATGCCGTTCAAACGATGGGCATTCCTTGCTCCTATCAAAGCAGCATGGCTGCAGAGAGCTGCAAAGCTGTGGTGGTGCAGCTGCTTATGAACCATTCCCAGCTACGTTTCAAGCAGGCGCCCTTCGGCTGCGCTGTGCAGCGGTGCCTCAACGAGGAGCGATCAAGCTTCGGGTTGGTAAGTCTTGTTGTGTTTGCCCGTGTGGATCTGTCAAGGACTTTCCTTGCAATTGGGCGCCTGGATGCGGAATCCCCAAGGGCCTGTCGCACACCAGCCACTTGGCAGACCCAAATTAGCCAAGTGTGGGTTGAGTCTGGTGAAAGTGGGGGTTTGAGTCTGGTGCCGTTGCCTCTTCGTTTCACTTCACGGAGATTTTCTTCAGATGAGATATGATGAGATATCTGAGACTCTGACTTCTGTGTCGTCGGTTCGTTTGTTTGAACATACTCTCCACATCTTTGAGCCTCTCAGACGCGCAATCAGAAGACTTGAGGTTTGGCATGCTTGCGATCCTGTGGAGATCATGAAGACATGCTCAGGCTCTGCGTAGACGCGTGGACTGCCAGAGACCACAGAGTCACAGAATTCCAGGGCTTTGTAAGATGGAGTGACATCTGTATGTGTCCTTTCAAGACTAGTTGACTATATCATGTTATGTATGTGTGCATTCGCGCATATTCGCGCCGCGGATGGCGGCATGGGGAGTCGTGTGACCTCTCGGCTCTCCCAGCTATGCACCATTTTGTGATTTGCCAATCAATCGAGAACATGTTGACAGGCAGGTTGGCTTTGACTTCACATGTCAAGAGGCACCTTGTGCAGCGATTGGACATGTGACATTGTGGTATTGCTCAACTTGAGCTGATGAAGTGGCGGTCATGGAAGTTGCAGCGCCTGAGCATTTGAGACATCTCATCCAACAATGCCATCTTTTCGGTGTCCTCTCTTTTGGATGCTTGAGTTTGTGCTCTGCTTGTCAGATCACCGCCAGATTTGGATGCCAAGGCCAGTGCAAGAGCTAAACGCAGGGTTGTGTGGAGAAACGTGATGGTGAGAAGGATGCCACACACACACATGCACACACACATATATTATATATAATTACCAGGGATTATTAAGTTGAGCTGGTTATGAACTTTCTACCCTTGAAACGGCGAGAGAGAGAGAGGGAGAGAGCCTGAAGCTGAACGAGGATGTGCAACCCAGTCACATCAACCGCACGGCGTGCAAAAACTCTGGCTTCTTGCATGTGGTGATTTAGGGTCACAATGGGCCACATCGCCTTTTGCCTCGCAAAGAACATTTGAGTTTGTCATGTAGTTGCTTCGTGTGAAGCTTTTCAGAACTCGTTTGAGAAAATGCCACTTGAGTTGAATCTCAAATCTGTTGAACTCACACCGGAACAGATGCTCAGCACGCACACAAGCTACTGGGGGCAAGGACGCTGCTAGGGGCTCCTGGCATCGCTACGAACTGCCTCTCGGCTCGTTCGGCCCGTCAGGGGATGCCCTGGCCTTGTACATCCCGGAATTCTGCCCAACTTGGTGCCAAAGCCCGGAGTGTCCCTACCAGTGCGACCGCAGCTGGCAAACAGGTGGTGAAGTGCCCAATCTGCAGCAGCAGAGGCAGGGTGAGCACTTGGCCCATTGAGTTGCAATCGCTAAAAGGGCAGAGCAAGACACCACCCTTTGAACCTTCTCGTAGTGTCACATGCCACTCGTCCTTTCCGGTGAAGCGGAAATTGGTGGTGTCAGACGCGTTTGTCTCTTGGCCACGTGTAGGTGTTGGACGCAGATTAAGGGTGGGGTCCACTGCTTGGATGCCATGAAACTGGGCCAGGCACGCAGGGCCACAGTTGTCACACACACACAAAGGGGGATACTGTAGTGTAGTGAATAGTGCAACTTAAGTTGGCAAAGGGTTTGCTGGGTTTCCAATTGAAAGGCTGCTCATCCAAACACTCAGAGATAGTCAGTGTAGACAGTAAGCAGCATCTCCCTCAAGCAGCTTTAGGCCACTGCAAGAGAAAGGTTCCAGTACTCGCTTTTGCGCAATCCTGCGTCTAGTCCTGGCAGGATTGCCACTGCAAATGCGCCAAGTACTATGTCCAATTGCAGGGCTTACTAGGGCGTGTGACTTGTCTTAGCAAATTAGTTGTTGGGCGAAGGTAGGTTGGAATTTGCGATCCAAAGCAGGTTCGCAGATGGAAGAATTGCAAAGAATATTGTAGACCGCCCAGCTAACTCCAAAGAGCTTTCTTGTGCTCGGTTGGTGCTGTGTTGTGTTGTGGGGGTATTTGCGCAATTTTATGCCCAGCGGCTGCCAGCGTGTCCTTGGGGGACCCAAGTAGCTCCTCAGTTGTTCTCTGAATGGGGGTTGTTAGTTTTAGGGGGGCTCTAAGCCCCTTGAAGTTGGGGAGGGGACTGAAGCTTTCCAATGTTGGACTTCAGTCACTTAAGTCTTCAATTCTGGTCACTTCGACTTGAAGGTTCCTCCTCTGAAGGTCGACGAACGAGCAGAAGCGGGTTCGGACTGCTTTCGACCGATCCTTCATTGCCTGCTCAGAAGCCGGGAGCTGTTTCGGTGAGTGACAAGATCGAGGGGCGCGACCTGGCGTTGGATGTGAAGGCCTGGCTTTGACAGGAAGCTTCGAAACCAAGTGGTTTCATGATGCCCGAACCTCGGCCGTTGAGGGTCCTGCAGGTCCCTAGGTCGTCACACGATGAACGCGGAGTGAGACGGCGATGGGATAAGATCAAACCGAGTGTTCTGGGACCCCATTGGATGTGTTACATCCCCCTTTCTGAAGCAAAGAGAGACACCAAAGAGGATTGACGGATTGACCGTTTTCCAAAAGACGTCACGAAACAAACGAAGCCATGTCCAGATGCCAAGTGACACCCCATGTCCAGGGTGTAGCGGGGCGTCCGATGACCTTCGACTTCACTGGAGAGCGCATGCGCACTGATGAGCCGGGGAACGCACAAGGTGGCGGCATGCGCTTCTGGCGCATCCTGGGGTGTTACCCCTTGCTGTTCCCAAGTGGGCACACAGTCATCGGTCATGTGTGTCTGACAGTTGCCAGGATGGAGGTGGAAAACATGGCCAAACACCTGGTGTTTTTGGGGTGCGGGCTTTTGAGCCACTTGGCGGGTGACAATGCATCTCAGATGCCACATTTTTGGCATCTGTAGCTCATTCAGGGAAAACTGCTCGAAGAGACGCGGTGAAGGGATCATATATATATATAGTATATATATATATTTACACAATATATAATATATACACATATTGCTTGCATATTATGGTTACACAATTATATCAACATTTTGGCTTCTTTGGCAATTCGCTCAAAAGTCTTTGCAACATTTCATTGCAACCAAAAACATCGATATATTGATGACGGACATTTGGCGATTCAACAGTGTCGATCCCAACTTTTCTCCGTTTCGTCTCACGTTTGAAGCTTCACCGCGTGGATCTGGGAGGTCCTCGCATGAAGATCATTGATGAAGGCGAAATCTGTAGCACCCTGGCTTTATTCAGACAGGTTCGGCAGGCGTAGTGCACAGTCTGACAATCTTGGTGGATGATCCCCCAACAAACTCGCATGAGGTGAATGAGGTGTCCTTACACATGTGGTCACGACATGCATGCTTTTTTAATGGGGGGTTCGAAGCAAAGAGTACATAGTGGGGCGCCAGGTCAATTGACAGATCAGGAAGGTGAGGGGAGGATGCGAATGGACAGCCAAAAGGTACAGCGCCCTTGGCCTTCAACATTAGTGGCTTGGAATGTCAGCAGCCACCTGGTGCTGATCTTCTTGCAGGTGCATCTGCTTTTGACACGTGAACGGAAGAGAATGGACCCTGGAGCTGCACCGCCGTGTTCTGCCAAGTTGAGTTAAGCTTACACACTGTGGTTCCCAGGCGGACCATACCATGACAAACCATAACAGATGCCTACTGTCCAATGCTTGGTGGTTTACGTTCGCTTCTGTGTGGTCTCATCCATGGGCCAGGCTACATTTGCACCACTCCACCTTCGATGGCGGCACCCTTCCTTCATCGCTGGGGTGGCATTACCATGAATGCTGCTTGCTTTTTTGTTGGTCAAATGAATTGAGGAAGAGGATCCATTCGAGCTTCTGCGCATAGCGTGATACGGTTTACCCTGAAAGCCGAGGCTTGCGGCCGATTCCAGCTCTGCCACTGTAATGAGTTGTGCGACGTCAAGTCGAACTGGGTCCGGGCAGGCTACCTGGAGGTCGAGCCGGTGCTGACCTATGGCAGTGACTGGGACGTGGAAAAGAATAGAACAGATGACTCCAGGCAGAACTCGATAGGTCGTCGGTGTTTAAATGGGCGGCAAGGCATTAAATGTCCTCATGTTGAGGCTCAACATGCAGTTGGACCAGGTGAATGTCGGGGGGGTGTTGAGTCGAATCCTCAAGATGGCTCACTATAAGGGAGAGACATGGAGAGACCAGAAATGAATAGAACTGACCTAATGCTCCTCCCGGTCGGACTTGGAAAGGCAAACTTTGAACCAGTTTTGTTGACTCTGAGGCATGTCTGCCCCTTTGCCTGGCTGTGCGGCATATCTGCCCACGCTACCGCCGGTGGACGCGGGCGGTGGCGCTGGGGAGCCTTGGATGATCTGCCAGCGCGCCACTGTCCCGGATGATCCACGTAGACTAGAGACGTAGAGAGTCCAATCCTTCCCGGAACCTTCTCAATGGTCCATGTTCGTTGCAAGTGAATAGCGATGGCCTCCAACCTAGGAGCGATGGCCTCCCCCCCAAGAACGCATACATGCAGGATAGTCTTGGTGCTACTAGTGGCATCCTTTCCACCATTACGATCATTACGAGTGCTCGATTGTCGTCTCGGGACTTTCTGCCATCGGACACGGAGGCTCAACTCGATTTGGTTCGGAGTTTAGGGATGTTTAGGACACGTTTCACTTTGGGTTCTAGGAGGGTAGGTTTGCTTGAAACAAACCACCCGATGGAATTCATCACCTGTTCATGTCGCTGAGGAGATCCTCCAGAAGACGCTGGTCACGACGTACGTCAGCATCGATGGTGGGCTGAGGCCCATGCCTCACGTGCTGGGGGCCATTGCCCAAAGCTTCGCTGTCTTTACGCAAGTGAGGCGAGGATGGTCCTGGTGATGCCTGGAACCTTCAGACGCTTCCAGGATTCAAGCTCATTCATGGACACTTGCCCTTGCTTAATCAGACTTCAGGTTCCAAGAGTGAAGATCATGGACAAGCATAAGATCCTTCTCAAATAGGAAACCCAAACTGGGGAGACCAACGGCAGGTCAGAGCTTTTGGATGCACTGGCGCCACGTGCAGCAGATGTGGCGGTCACAGACTACAACAGCAGCTCGTCCGCCTGTACTGGTCATTACTGGCCATGCCACAAAGTCGGCAGTCCCAAGCAGATGGCTGAATCGTGTTTGTTTGGGACTTCTGCGGGCCGTTTGGGACACTGATACGGTATCGTATTATATCAATATTTTCGGAGGCCTTGGCCTTGGCCGCGATGCCTCAGCCTGAGTGTTCCAATCGACCTTTCGCGGCCCAATGGCCATCTGGCCGCTGTGGGGCCCAAGATTTCAGTGACTGCTGGTTCGGTCCTTCCACACCAAATTGGGTCGCCACATCGATCCAACTGGGAAATATATATGCTTATAGTTAGTAATTCCTGTAATTACTTCCAATTACCCAGGTCAAATTCCATGATTTTGTGACTTGAGGTTCAGCCTACTGTGTAGCAACACCCCTTGCTTGGCCGAGGTATCTCTGACGCCCGCAGGCTGGAGATGCACATGACCTGGTAGGACTGCATGCGGAGCACCTCCGAAAGCGAACACGAGCACAGGGGACAGATGTGCATAGATAAACCAAGATAAAACGATATCCAGATATATCCAGCACTAGATTCAGAATGGAACCAGTGCACCCAAAAAGGAGTCCTTCCTGAGGCCTTTGAAGGGTGGATCCAGAAGCGTTAGGTAGATGACCATCCCGTTTTTGGAGGCTTCAAGGGTGTGAAGATGATGACGCGGCATTCCAGGAGGAGGCGGCCAAGGTGGGTCGAGATGACCATTTGAAGGAGCTGAATGAAAGCTATGGAAGAACGATTTAATTTCCGTTTTTTCCATACGAATTCATCTAGAGGAGCCATTCTGGTATGGATGGATGTTTGATACCGATTCAGATTCGGGATGCCATTAATTGCTTCTGCATGCACTGCGCAGGCCTCAGTGTCCGTCGCCAGTTGCCAGGAGGCCAGGGCATGGCTGGCGTTTTGACTCTTGCCAGATGGGTGACTACCTTTTTTTTGGTTATTTTTTGGAGTAAACATATAACTCATATAACTATACACTCAAAACATTGCAATCCTATGTCTAAACTTCTAAGCAATCAACGGTGTTTGTGATGCCCAAGTCACCCGCTCATGTTTCCGATGACACAGCTTTGGACGAGTCTGGAAGTAAAGCTGCCACCAGCCCACCCATTTTCTTTCTTGCAAACTGCTTGTTCACTTAGTAATTATTGGAGGCACCCACAGAGGGATCAATACCAGGTTGTGGTGCTTTTCTCATTGAGCAACTCTTTTGACCTCTTTTGTACCAATCAATGCCCTTTTTCAGGATTCTCAATGCAAAATTCTCGAGGATCTTTGTGACCTGTGGTCACTGACCTCGGGGGGTGGAAGGCTGTGACTTTGCTGGGCAGCGTGGAGCAAGTCTGCGAGGATCTCACCCTGGCGCAAGCGGTCGGGGCACCGGGGGATGAAATGGGATGAATGGATCGAGGTCGGCACTTGTCAAGTTTAGCTTCAAGTTATGCACAACGAAACACGTGTGAACATGTGTTTGCCAAATTTCGCCAAGACATGTGGGATCCTGCGATGTGCTTCTGGCACAGCACCCCTTCCCCCGCTCAATTTCAAGCACCACTTGAGAGCTTTCGTTTCAGGCTCTTCCAAGCCCACCCATTCAGCCTTGCAGCCGTACAGCTCGGCTCAACTGGTCAAAGATCACAGATCCATTTGAAGCCATGGATCTGACTTTCGTGAGTCTTCCCCAGCCCTCCCAGGTGCATTTCTGGCGGTGGCGCTTTGGATGTGAAACATCGCTGTGGCTGTCAGTGTGGCTTCATTGTTCTGGGGATGTTCCAAAGATATTCAGAAACATATGGCAACGATTTCCAGGAACTTTCGCTTAGTCTTATAAGATGGCCTTCAGGACATCTGCCTGTTTTTGGTCTGTCCCCATGACCCAACCAACCTGCTACTTTGGTGGTTCTTCTGAGTGCTAGTCCATGTCCCGTTCAAACCTTTCCCATAGACCCTTGCAGCAATTCCCATGTTTTACCACCCCCTTTCACTCATCCCCAATTCGCAGGCTCCGCGACTGGAAGGGGCCAGCCAGGCGAAGCTTTACATGCCGGCAGGCAGCGTGGGCAGTGTTGTCCCAGAGCTGAATGAACATCATTATCCAAAAGACATCATTGGAGCATGCTTACGGAGGACATCCTGTTGATCCTATGATTCTGTGACTGGGTGGCGAGTCTAGATCCTACTGCAACGAAGGGTGGCTCCTCGTGCAGGTGCTGAAGCCTCCTGCTGGGCCACGGGTGCCACCTTGGCTGTGGCCGCGGTGACCATCTTCAGGCACGACGGGCGCTGGGCATGTGGGGCACCGCCTGCAGCTTGGCTCCCTTTAAGGTATTGCAGGGGGGAACCTCCCACCAATCCCACCAATCCATTCGTATCCATTGGTTCAAGGTGCGTCCCCACTGCGTCCCCTAATCTTGGGACTCAACCAGGTCATTGGCATAGTTGTGCATGTTCCCGCCATGCGAACTTGACAGCAGGGCCATGCGCCGGCGAAATTGGTCGCGGGTGAGCCTGGGCCCCAGCGGCGGCTGCTTCTATGACATGAAGTGACTCAGCCGCAGGAGACAGCTGGTCTACGTAGAAAGGTAGAATGCCCACCAAGTTTTTATCCCTTCCTGGCTGTAAATTCTTTCTATAGGTTATAGGTTGCCGTTTTGTCGTTTGTTTTTTTTGACCTTACCTCAGCCGCTCAGCCAGAGAGAGGGAGAGATAGAGAGAGAGAGAGAGAAACTGAGACGGCTGAAAAGGCGTGAACAAAATGCACCGGATCTTCCTTGCGAGTTTGTGCAATCAACCTTGCATGCTTTTTAGTGACTTCGCGCTGACAGAGCAGCTTGGTAAGAACTTCATTCTAGACCCATGTCTCCGGGACATGGGGTTGGGGGCCTAGGACTTCAACGTAAGCGCACGCAAGAGGCAAGGAGCCCCTCTACAGTAGTTGCTTCTGATGTTGCGGGTATTCAATGATCTTACGATATCTGATGTAATTTCGATATGAGGAGCCCAACTCCAGGTCAATTGAATTTGACTGTGCGCCAACTTTGGCGCCAGACCGAGCCGAGCCGTTTCGACTGGTGTGTCGGTGTTGCTTTGTTGCTTCTGGTGTACACCCGTTGATGCAGATGGACAGTGGCCTCGCGCGGCTGTTTTGCGCCCCCCCCATCCGCCGTTGGTAGCGCTCTGAGCAGACCTCTTCGTCCTTTCGAGACTTCACAGGGACACCACTTCGAGACTTCACCGTGTCACTAGCCGGATGTCGGACTTCGAACCCCCCACAGATCTGGGACATCAGTCCTGCAGCTTGGCGAGGTTCCGCGCAAAGCCCGGGGACAAGTTCAAGTACCGCTACTCCACAGATGCTGCTGGGATCAACCGATTTGACACCTAGACATTCTTATGCTCATCTTTAGGGAGCTCTGCGTTTTCCTTTTGCAGCTCATGTTGCTATTCAATCTCCATCCAGCTTTCCTTTTTTCCTCTTCCGTGCGCTACATGCATTCTAAGCCAAGCCTTGTGGCACTGCGCTTTTCGGTCTCGGTGTTTTCACGCGCTTTTCGGTCCGAGGTCTGGGAGCCTGAGTGGGGAATCATCCCGGAAGAGAAGGGCCGACTGATCAGGCGAGACGGAAGAAGCTGCTGAGCCAGTCCAAATTGGGCTGAGAGATGTGCTTTTAGATCTTTTAGAGAATTTGTCTAAAACCCTTGCCCCAGTCTTTTGCACCTTTAGCCCCACATAAAGAATCCTGGCCATGTTCGTGGGAATCGATTACTGAGAACCGCAAGCAAAAGGATCAAAAGGCTGTTCTGGAAAACCTCTCGGTCAAGCCGTCGCGGAGCCGAGCAGCACACAGCGCAATGAAGGATGATTAAGGATGATTAAGATATCATAGCGCTTTTTAAGGCCTCTTAAAGATCTTTAAAGGCTTTGGGGTTGAAGGATGTTTAGGCTATGTTGTATGACCAGCCATTGGCTTGGGATTCTCAGGCAGTTTTCGGTTCAATGTTTTCGGCTCCAATCCACGTTTTCCAGGTACGGCCAGCGATTTCGCAAAGGCACCGTGGTAAAACCAATGGTCGATGACGACGATGATGACGATGCTTGGCCAATCTTGAGAGAAATCAAATGCCCAGCAGACAGGTGACTTAGCGCATGAGGTGAATTGTGGCACGTTGTGCTGGGATGCTCAGGGGTGGAAAGGCAACGATGTCCATTACTTTCTTTGCCTGTTGTTCTTCGGAAGGGTCAGGCAAGCAGATTTTCAATATGCGGCAGGTGTGCAGAACTGAGCATCAATGTGCGTATCGTTTGTGCTTCTGTAAGCACTATGTAGGTGGTCAGAGGTGTCAAGCAGCTTCAATCCAGCCATTAAGGAGGGTTGGGGTGCGCTGGGTGGAGCTGGCGATGTGGGCTCCTTGCTTGATCTTGGGAGGGAGCGGGGTGATTCTTCAGGCTTCACTCATGATGATGTTTGCAGGGTCCAAGACAGGGTTCTGTACTATCTATCTTTCAAACACTTGAGAGTTTTGGTTTGCACAGCCCCAACTGATCGATTGGACATGTGAATGTCTTGCGGTGCAAATGTTTGCGCTCTGGGCAAACAGTTGGTATCGTGGTAGTGGGTGGAAGTCTCGCGCCTATCCAAACAATTTGGGCCTTTTCTGAACAGCAGGTGCTGCTCCTGGGCTTGAAACCGGCGGGATTCGGGGACCTATTGTTGGGGTCAACACGCAGCAAGCGCCCATCTCCACTCTCCAGAGCTTCTACCGCCGCTGCCAGGCACCGGCGCCCTGCTCCTGGACTGCGACGGCACGCTGGCGGAGACGGAACGTGATGGGCACCGGGTGGCCTTCAACAAGGCCTTTGAGGCGAATGGGGGTGAACATGGGTGAACCCGGTGAAATGTGTTATATATCTCAAAACGAACCCTGTGCCGCCATACCTTGTGAGATCACTGGTGCGAGGTGAGGATATACTGTTGACCCTAGTGAGTCAGTCTTTTTCGTTCGCTTCATCCCTGCGTTTTGAGGAGAAGGGCTTCGATGTGGAATGGGATGTGGAGCTCTATGGCGAGCTCCTGACCACTGGTGGAGGAAAGGAGAGGATGACACGCCACGTGGTCGAGTTCGGACTGATCTGGAGCGGACGTGGTTGATAAGAGGAAGACACAGGAATTGGAAGCCGATCCAAAGAGTGACACCACATCACAGAGTCAGATGCAGTTTGCTCCACATCACCACCAAATGCTAGGGCTAGAGCAAGTACATCCGACCCGAACAAGAAGAAAGAGTGTTCGAAGGAGATCCGCCATCTTGCAAGCACATGTGCAATTGATTACTATTGATTATGATTGGTTGTGAAGGGCTGCATCGACCAACTTGTTTTCTTCACAATCGTTAGCCGGTTGGCCATCGCTTGGTTGGTCTGACCCCCTTGGTGCTCCAGGTGTGCGGTGGTCACAACGGTCATGTCCGTCTCCTCATGCGAGGTTACTTCAAAGATTACAACCCAAAGGCCTGGATCTTTGAGGACCGGCGGTCGAACGCAGGCTTTGATAAGTCGATGAGTGCTTTGATGTGCTTTGTATTAGGTGGACAGGTCTCGCATGGTCTGGCAAATGAAGACATCTAGAGTCTAAAGTCTTCCGTCCAGGTCTAGGGATAAATGGTGGAGGAGCGTGTTTGTCTCAATCACTCATCATCAGGTTGATTCAAGTGAATTTGGTTGATGCCTGTGATTTGGGGGGTGACCGGGTTGAAGCGAGTTGAAAGCGGCGGCTTCGATCCCAGGACCCTCCAGCAAAGGACCACCCAGTCATCATGGAGCTTCATGAGTTGAAGACCCGGATCTTCATGGAGATTGCGGCTCGACCTTCCACGAGTTCGGGTTCAGTCGTTGTTCGGCGGGTCAAGAAGACGAAATCGTGGAAGTTCCACCGTGGAAGTCCCAGGCTGGATGAAGCATGATGAAGCCAGTGGAGACTTTCTATGACCAGGTCTTCAATGGTTTTCTTTGAGAGATGTCCGCTGTACTAAGCTGGCACAGGAACACTCAGCAAAGACTAGGAGGGGTCCTGGAGGAGCTTCTGTTTGCAAACCCTCTGTATAGTTCTATCTGAAACCACGGTCTTCAGTGGACCCCTGTTGAGAATTGAAGGGTTTGCTACTTCGGATAGGCCCGGGCCTCTCTTGCCCATATCCCAAAATTTGCCGCATTTTGCCGCCATACCGGCAGCTCTAGCCCGTTGGTGGGAAGAGCGCATGAAGCCCTAATTTTTTGACATTATAGTCTTATAGTATTACAACTTCAGATATTCAAATTGCCAATCCTTCTACCCATGCCACAACCCCCAAAAAGAGCTGGTTGTCCCTTCATGGTTCCTGCACTCGGGGCCCGCGGCTGGCTCCCGGTATCGCGTGCTCTGCTCCGGGTAGTGATTCCGAGCGAAGCAGCTCGGCTCTGAGGTGAAGTCAGGAGACCTTCCCTTGCGTGAGGGCATCAAGGCTGACCTCTACCGTCGGCTTCGGCCCGAGGTTTCATCAGGATGTCTAGGGGTGATAGCTTCATCGGGATGCGAGATGTGGGGATTTTGTTCGGTTGGGCTCCCAGATGCACACACACAATTATATATCGGGTCTACACAATTTGGATTAATTTGGCACATTTAGTTGCATACCTCACTATTTTTTGATTGCAATGTTACTTGTGGAAGGTCTATGGGTTGGTCCTGGAACATCCACTCCCGCCACAGGATTTGATCTCTGCAGCAGATGAAGCAGGAGCTAAATTGCTGGCGTTGCGGGGAAAGTGTGTCTTGGGGAGGAGAAGCTAAGGAGAGTCAGGGGACGGCTGGAACAACAGCAAGAAAAACAGCTTTGCTGAATGCACACTGTTCGAATCCTTTTGATCTTGGCATGTGTCTATGCACCGTGTATGTTGCACTGTATGTTGCATAGGACCATTAGTCATGTTTCCATTGAGGCACAAAGGGATGATTAAAGTCACGGTTGCCCTTGGCCACCCAGAGTAGCAAGGCGATGTGGAATTCCCGCTGGGCTCACATCCCAGTTGAATTTGATATTAAGTAGCTTTTTGCTCTTGTGTTGGTGGCCCTAGGCTTTTGTCCCCTCACCTCTCAGGTGTTTTTGGTCTTGTCTTTTTTTTGGGGGGGGGGCGGGGTATGTTTTAACTGGTTTTTATCAGAATTGCTTGTTGTTGACCAGTTTGTTGCCATAACCAGAGTTGAGCAATTTGAATTGCTTGATGTTGGCAATTCAATTGCTCATGCCTGGTGTATAAAGTGCATTTCCCGCCACGCTATTATGGTCCTGAGAGATGCTGAGTTGGCTCGAGCAGGATGGCAGCTGGCAGTGTGCTCCACCAGCAACGAGGCAGGATCATGTGGGCGTCCATCCCAACTCGAGGTTTAGCTGGACTGTTTCTTCTCCTTGACCGTTGCACTTGCTAGTGTGCAGCTACTTTTGGCGTGGAGCATTGCCAGCTATGTCCCATTGACAAGGCCTGTCCCCATGCAGTCTCGAAGTTGTCGCCGGTCACCACCAGGACTCCTTCCTTCGGATTTCAGGCCTCTGTGACGGCGGTGGTCGAGACGATGTTGCCCGACTTTGCTCCCAAGATGCGGATCTTCGCCGGAGACGTGGTCTCCGCCAAGAAGCCCGACCCGGTGCCCGGGACAGAGCACCCGGAGACGAGCGGAGACCGAGCCGGACCAAGGTCTGTTGATGAAACGATCCTGTTTGGGAGATTTTGAGTAGCAAATCCATACATTGCACCGCCTTGTGAGTGAACCAACGTCTTTTGTTTTGGGGGTATATATATATAGAGCCATCTCATGGGTCTAGATTAGATGGGACTCGATTATCCGAAGGATCAGAATTGGATGTTTTTTCTGTGTGGAATCCTGGAAGGCTGGTGTGTGAATCATTGCAGATTTGAGGGGGCGCCCTCCACTCATGAAAGGGAGGAGAATTGGATCGATGGGTAGAGGTTTACCATCATGTGCAGTCCACGTGCCTGAGTGTGCATCTTTCCATCGCTCCATCCATCTCCACCCTATTCATATTAGTAGTAATGCCAGGAGCTACTATATAGTAGCTTCTTGCTCCTAGTAGCGATGGCCTCCACCTATATATATAGTAGCTTCTTGTTCCTAGTAGCGTTCTCCTTCACTACACGCCGGAGGCCATTTACAAGTTGGCCTCTGAGAAGCTGGGTGTGGCGCCCATGCGCTGCGTGGTCATCGAGGACACTTCCATCGGCGCCACTGCAGGGAACGCTGCCGGAATGAAGGTGGGACGAGTCTTGAAGTCGATGAGGGGAGTGTGCCGGGATGGGGGATGGGGCAAGAATATATACCCAAACAGTGACCCAAACCTTTTGAACAAATCAGAGGTACTCTTTGGATTTTTCAATAGGCATCCACGGATTGCTTTGTTTTCTTGGCAGAATTGCGTTGATCGTATTTGTGCAACCGCTTGGATGGCCTCTCCGCAGCTGCATCGGCCACAGGTTTCTGTATTAGTATAGTGTTTGACGCCAGTAAAGATGCCTCGAACCCAACAGTGCACGCAGCACGACACCTCGATGACTTTTTCTTCGGACACGCTTTGTCAGACATTTGCAACATCCTTGGAAGGGTTCCTTGGCAGATTTCCCTTCCACGAGTGGTGAGATTGACCCATTGCGAAACCAGCTTGGATGAGTCACAAGTCGAGTAGTCGAGTACCATGTACGCCATGTATGCCATGCATCCGTTGCCCAGCGAGTCAGAAGATTTGGAAAGCAATCGAAGCTATGAGAGTGATGAGAATCTTGGTCCTGGGAAAGCCATGCTTCCCCATGTTTGTTTCGCTCGACATGTGGGGCAGCTGGAGGTTCCTTTTTTCGATAACTCTTTCGTACTATATAATCTATATAGTGGATTTGTGCCTCAGGCAGCGTGATGAAAACGCCTGACAAAGCTTTTCAATCGAGGCCCTTTCCTGTGGAGAAGGTGAGCCACATCAAATGGGCCGATCTGATGTCCAGCTCGCACTGCGGAGAGAGCTTGCGGGAGCCCTTTGGACCGTGATCCAGTGTTGATTGTGATGATCAGCAGCACTAGAAATTCATTCATCGTAGACCCCAAGAGATTCGACCTGTATACTACTTTTCTGCGGCATCTCCAGAGTCAAGAGTCAATGGTTCCTGATGATTCAATCTATTACTTATATATGGGACTTGATCGAACACCCCGTGTAAGGAGTTCTATATAAAACAGCCTTTCAGATGTTGTTAGAACCATCCGCGAAAGATTCGCGATGAGGTTCGCGAAAGTATCTTTCTTTTTTTTCGCGAAAGAGTTATCGAAGGACATAGCTTTCACATGTTTTCCTTTCTACCGGACTGACAAAGAATAGAAATAATAAATACAAGGCAATCCTCCGGCAGAGCAGGTGGGCAGAAGTGTCCCCATCTGTCACAGACTAACGAACTGAAGCCTCAACGTTTCTGTGCCCAGCCCTGGCAGTGCGTAAAGGATTCTCCGATTCCTGTCCCCACTGTCACAGACTAGCAACCTGAGTAGGCACAGCCCTGACAGTCAGGCAACGACCTGCAGCTGCTCTGACGGGCTGTGCCGATGTTTGCAAAAGTTATGGCTTCCCGAAAGCACCAGTGAAATTTCGCGAAAGATCCGCGAAAGTTTCGCGAATGTGCCGCTAAAGTCCAGGTTCCCAGCTTGAGGCCCCCCCCAACATCCCCCAAGCTGCATCACCCTGTGTTGGTAGCTGGCAGGACGATTGGGTTGAGCTGTGCCTGATTCTATTTGGCACAATTGCCGCACAGAGTCTGCAAGTGACCTGAGTAGCTGTGGAAACGTTCAACCTTCTACTGGGTCATGCTGCAAGATGTCTGTCCCTATTTTGTGATGCTATGACATGTCCCCGCTCATGTTAGCTAGACTCTAAACATGGTTGTAGGACCATGCTCCGCGATGAGGCCGCGAAAGATCCGCGAAAGATATTTTTCCGCGAAGAATGGCCATTCCAGGATGAAAGAATATTGATCAACCACCACATATATATATATGTATATATAGACATACATTCAATGAATGGGCATCTCAGTTGCTGGAATGTCTTTGTGTAGGTTGTGCTGCTTGTTAGACGGCTGGGAGGCAATTTTTTAACAATCCTCCCATGAGGCTGAACTTTCAGCATGTGTTGTCGCCTACTCAAGCCCCACCAGCAAACTCGCGTCCAATCATTCCCAGGTCGGCGCGGGACTATGCGCAGCGAGTTTGGCTGATGCAGATGAGGTCCCTTCTTGCCGAAACAAAGGAGAGTTTGGATGCTGCAGTTGCGTACGAAAGGCGCTTGGAAGAAAACAGGAGTCAACAGCGCAACTTGGCACTTTTGAGTGGCCTAAATGCAGCAACAACGTAACACCGTCCTGAGTAGTTGAGTTGGGGAGGCTTCAGAAAATAGAAGGATGATGGCTTTTAAGCCTTGAGGTTTAGCAAGCTTGTTAGCCAGTATATAATTAGTTTCTGTGGTGCCCATCTCAACAGTCTAGAGTTGGATGCCCGGAAAAAGGACCTGAAGTGCTCATGTGCTGCCGACGAGAACAAGAAGAATCCGAGAAGACCATCGAGAACTTGCGCGCTTCTGGGCTTAGGCTAGGAGAGACCAGGTAACATGGCCACGTGCAATACAGAAAAGACAGAACTTATTGGACTCGACAGGTTTCGAGTCTCGACATGTCTAGACCACACCTTGTCACAGGTTTGCAAAGACAAACATGTTGAGTCTCGTGCCTTCGTGCTAGTTTGGTGACATCGAGATGACCCACGAGATGACTCAGAGATGACGCACGCCCACATTGAATTGTGCATCATTTGGGCGTGAATGTTTTGGGATTCCTGGGCTGAGGCGAAGAGCTTTGAGAAGGGCTCGATTGAAGCTCGATGGTGTAGCGATTGGCTGGCGGAGTTGATGCTGGGATTGAGAGAGCGACACACAACTGGGTCATATTCGCAAGTGAAGCTGAGCTTTTCGTGGAGAGGAAACGATATGAATAGATAACCACCTGATTTGCACCAGCTTGATGCCTGAGGAACAAGATGACACCGAGCAGCTTCATCCAGTATGTCACCCTCCTCAGCACCGAGGACCATCAAGAGAACTTGTACATGTTCCTTGGAGGGGCCCTGGGGCCCTGGCACTCATTGCTTGGGCTGAGGCTACAGAATTCAATCATATTCAATCAGCCTTCATGCGCAGACATGACCAGCCTTCAATCAGCCTTCATGCGTTTCGCATCGAGATGCGCCGTGCAGAAAGGATGGCTCGTTTCTGGACGTTCGACCCATACCACATCCCCAATGGGTGGATGTCCCTGAGCCTGGGTGTGCCTTCTCAGGTTCATGAGTAGCATGTCGATGGAGCTCACCTGGTCACAAGTGCAAGCACGACTCGTGAAGATCGAGGCGGTGAGGCAAAAACTGCAGCAGGAAGAGTTACACCTTTGTGAATGGAAACCCGTTCCTTGGCCCGAACAAGTGAGAGATGATGGTCCGCTTGTGATGGCTTGAAAGCACGTGCCCATGACTCCCAGGACGCATCAGGACACCACCCTGACAGTAGGGTGACATATTCCCAGGTGGATGACTGAATCTGAATCTGTCATCCCGGAAACCGCGCTCTAAAGAACTCAGCCAAACGACACTCTTTCCATTCCATTCCATTCCATTCCTCCGGTTTAAGGAGAAAGGTGTTTAGCAACATGCGAGCTCGGCACTTGTGCAAGGGTGTATTTTGGGTTCTTGAGGTGTTGGATGGGGATGACTTCTCCATCCTCTTTCACCAGCCGATGGACTTCGGCTCCAAAATGGACGCGCAGGATTTCCAAGAATGTGACCTGACCGAAAGGGGGATGTAAAGAACAATCAACTCGACTGAGCATGCTCGACTGAGCCAGCAACCCAGTTAGCCAGCCACTAACATGGATCAACCACAAGCCATTAATAAACTATAGCACTATTGCATATAATAGAACGATCCAAAAGCTCATGGGAGCAGCATAGTAGGAACAAGAGGAACTTTGCATTGTGATTTCTCCAGGTGCTTTTTGAACGTGTGCCATGTGCAGGCATCCGAAGAGTCAGCAACAAGAAGTTTCCAAGATCTGGATGCTTTGGAAAGCTCTGGGGTGTTTTCTTACAGAAACTTTTCAGAAGTCACTTGGCACCAGGTGTTCGACCTGCATTTTTTGTTCTATGGTGTTATATATTTGTTGCTTTTCCATTTTGGATGTGACGCTGTGGCATTTTGGCCGCCACCTCTTCAAACCAAAGTTTTTTCTCAGAGCTGGAGCAGTGAGGTGATGTATCCTGCTACAAGTCCGAGTTCAGCATCACACCTTTGGCTCAACTCTTCAACTGCTCCAACCGAGACCTTGCCTTACTGCTGAAGGTGGGCAGTGGGCAGTTGCTTGAGAGGGGGCACCAGATTGAGCACGACATGACATCTAGTGCCAAATTGCAATAGAATTCGTGAGTTCCCTGAGAACAGCAGAACGTGTTTTAGTCCCACATGCAAATGCACTCTGATTTGAGGGGAAACAGCGTGTCGTGGGAGACGGACCACATTTCGCGAGGGTAATTGGAGGGCTACACTCATCTCCAAGTCTTTGCAACCCCCAAGGTGGATGGAACGTGTTGTTTTCTTCATGTTGCTCTTATTCCAGGAAAGGAGGTGGACGTGATCACCACCTACTCATTTGCATTCATTTGCTGTGGGTTTGCAGCAACCATCAGTCAGGACTCCATCCTACCACTGTCTGCATTTGAGAGAATCCATGTTGGTTGTGGTTCAACTAGATAAGTATAGAGCTTTGCATGGATTCCCCAGCATGCAGTGCTGTCCATCAAAGTTACTTGAGGGATTGCGAGTCAAAACATCGGTATGGGAGCACCCCGAGCATGCCCGGACCCCACAAGATTGGGGTCTGGGTGTTGATCAATTCAGCACTCAGCTATAGGAGGTGATTAGTTCGTGATTCGAACTCGGCCAGGTCTTAGCGGATGCTGGCCAGGACAGCCTTTGCTTTAACACGGTCTGTGCCCGCGCCATCCTGGCGGAGTGCCACAAACGCACGGCCCGGGGACACTGGGTGGACATCATCATCGACTTCCTTTACATTTGCATGTTGATACGTCGCCCGGTGATATTCAACTCCCTAGACGGCAACCGCGAACTCGCAGAATGATGCCTTCGCTGTGCCACCGGCGATGCGGCAAATGCTTTAGGATACTTCCACAAAAACCCTACAAAGCCGCCCCCCAAGAGAACTACCAGTATATATACTGGAACCAGCAGAAGGATACAAGGGCACAGTGCGGGCTGCTTGCTGAATCTCTACAGGTATGTCCATGTGGTTGGAGACTGGCAACGATCCGGAAGCGTGGTTATTGGCCTGCTTCGCCCTGCTCAGCGTTTGGATCGCCGCATCATTATTCTTCAAGCTGTTCGGAGGCTTGATCCTCTTTTGTGGGAGCTCCGCTGGTCTGGCCGTGGGGTTCCTAAAGCATTTGTGTCTTGGGATTCGTTCAGAATCTGGTCGCATTTTGGGGCGCCCTTAGTGCTTGAGTTCGTCCCAAATTGCTCTTTGGCCCATTTGGCCCTCTGAAACTGCTTGCTCATGTCATAGGTCGACGGCATCAACATGACATTTGTGTGCTCTGAGGAATCTTTGGAGCGTGACCCTCACTGCTACAGAGGTCTTCTCTGCATACGTCGGTTGGCGCTTCATGGTTTACGCCTGCGTCGGAGGGGGTGTGGAAGTCAACGATGCCTGGGCCGCTCGGACTTCGGCCCGGTGGGTCACAGCAGCGGCGTTCGGCCTGGGTTGAGATAGAGTTGGAACAGCGAGCCATCAAAGACAACTGAGCCATCAGTGTCAGATATGCCCACCACTTGTTGGTCCAATTGTGGTATAGATCGCCCTTTCCTTCCCTTTTGGAAGCAAAATTGCAAGCAAATCAGTAGAACATTAATGGGCGGGCATGCGTGGGCTCAACCACAATGTAATAATGTAGAATCATCGGATTCTTCATTTGATTTTCATTCCATCCACATGCCAAGACTCGGCAGCTTGTCAAGCGTGGACCCACCTGGAATCAACTGGACACTGTGTTTAATTGACGTGTCTTTGGACCCATAAGTGCTGCCATTCCTGGATTCACACGCTTGTTTCAACCAAGGCACCCCGGAATTACAGGAGAGCATGCCATTACACACATTAAAAAAGCAAAACACGTAAACTATTTCCCCCCCCCCCGCCAGATTCTGTTTGGGTTTGAGTCTTGACCTCCCACGCTCAGGTTCTCTTTCAGAAACATCCTGCCTTCCTCTCAGTGTTGGTGCTGATCCGTTGGACCCAGGTGGCTTGGAAGCAGGATGTGTGGTCCGGTGATGGATGCATCCCGAAGTGTGAATTGGAGTGATGGGCTTGCAACTGTCACATCATGGCTTCAGTTGAGGTGGGCTTTGGTTTGTTGCAGTTGCCGGGCATTGGGCGTAATATTGTGCCAGTCTTTTATGCCATCACACGGCCAGCTTCGATGCTTGGTGTATCTCGATCGGCTGGGAGGTCTGATCTGTGGTCCCATGAGGATGTTCTCCTAGCTGTTTTTCATTGTTTTTCAAGCAAAGCGGGGACTGTTCAAGTACCAACTGATGGATGGAAGTTGTGGTTAAGCTTGCCTTTGTCTCAGTTACAGAATCGGAGAGGGCAATCAGTTTCTCCAGGGCTGGCTAGCTCAAGTCATTGGAATCATGCCTTATGTAGCTGGGGAATGTGGGGCATTTGTAAACTGCACATGCAGTGAGTTCCCCGGGCAGTTCCGCCTCATTTTGACCATGCCTCGCGCGAGGATCAACTTCCTGTTTATCCTCTTCATTATCGTGATGGGATCTTTTCACGCATACTTTGTCTTTCCAATCAAGGAAAACACCGGCAAGTTCGACAATATCTTCAACGGCCCCTGCACAAGAAAAGGTGTCAAGGTAATTTGTGACATTTATGGTCCAATCTTCACTCCAGGACCCTTAGTCTAGTTCTTGTATTGCTACGAGAACTGCTCAGCCACAGGCTGAGGTGCTAAAGAGATAAGTGCTGATAAATGTGTCTTTGTCATAAGGAGGCTGGGCCTTGAAAAGGCGCCTTTCTGTCTTTTGCTCGGAAAGTAGTGCCACAGGAGTGGTGCGTTTGGCCGCCGTCAGTTAGTGGATCGAATATATACCTTGAGGCCACAAAAGGTTCAATGCAATTTGCCATGGTCAATTGAATTGTGGTCAAGAAACGCGTGTTGAAGCCATCCCCTTTGTCAATACTAATCCAGGACTTCCATCTATCAATTGGTCAATCCATCCATCCATGTATTTGTCCATTTTGGTCCGTGAGGTTTCTTAAAGATCTTCCGCTTGGAGGTCCTTGGTGACTTTGATTTAAACGAGCTGGAAGGGCTGAGCGAGACTTTGTCGGCCAATCTCTCCCATGGCCACTTGCAAGGTGACTTGGACAGAAGGACAGAGGGTGACTCCGAGCCACCCACGTCGGGATGTACTATATTTTGGGTCTGTCCTATTACCTGTAACAGTCAGTAAACACTTATCAGAATCACTATTTTTGGACAAAGCCTCTCCTAACCATCATCATCCACTGTTACAGGTGTATATATATATACTGTAATAGGATAGACCCGAGCTCCATTTACATAAATAAATGAAACACATCTAACCAGGTGAGGGACGTAAAGAGCTCATGTGCCTCAAAAGAGTGCAGTTTGTCAGCGTCATTGTCGAAGCCAGCCACTCGCAAAACGTGAAGGGCCATTGGGTCATGGCTCTGTGTGTAGATTCCTAAAAGATTCGCCCCGAAGTCAATCCCAATTGGCTCAAAATCTCAAAACGCCAAACTGCACGAGTCGTTTCAAACACCTGTGAGCGCCCCATCGTTTGGCGCTTGTTCACCGTTGGACATTGAGTCGCTTTTTTGCACCGTAGGCGAGGTCGGGGAGGAGGTGCGATCTCACATCCATCGTTCCTTGCGCTTGGAGTTCCTGGTGCTAAGCTTATTGGTGACGGTGGTGGCCATGAATGTCTACATCGGCCTGCTGGGGGAGCTGTACTCTAAGGCCAAGAGGGCATTTGATGTCCGGAGGAGAGCAAAAGAAATGTAACGTTCAAACACACAGACACACAGACAAACACAACATGCAATGTAATGTGCACACGAACCAGTAAAATCCATGGTGATTGTTGCTCTATGAAATGGGGATCCTTTACCTCTATGATATGGGGTTTCAGGGGCTCATCTCATAGAGCAGGGCCAGCGTCGCAAACGAGCATGTGACCTGAAATGCCATTATATAGAAGGAAGCTGGTGATGTTGAGTAAACATATATAGATGGATGTTGAAATTCCATTTCATAGTGGATCTGAGGTGCCTTGTTAACTTGGCTTGTGAACTTGGTTCATGGATGTTAGAATTCCATTTTATAGAAAACCAAGAGGGCTTCCAAGCCACACGAGAAGGCCTTTTTGAAAAATAAATCCTTTTTGAGCTGAGCGGTTATGTGCACAATGTCATTTCATAGAAACTAAAGAAGATGTGCTTGTAGTGAAGTGCACCTTGTAGTGCAGTCGTGCGCTAAAGTTTAAGTGATCTCATGTCATTATGATATTTGCTTCCAAGATGCCCGCGCACAGGAGCCAAGTGCATAGAACACAAATCCAAGCCCTTTGATCAGATAGAATGCGAGTCATGATGTCGGAGAGAAGAGAGAACGATCGATATGTTTTGTCAGCCCAATTGCTAACAGCTTTTGCTTGGAACATCCACATGGGTGGCACTTTCTGTGTCCATGTCCACATGACACGAGCGTAGAGTACAGATGAATAGATGACGACGGAAACCTACCTGCCATGTTCTCAGTCTACTGATTCTAGTGGTTTGAGTACGAGTGCCTGCGCGTGGAATGTTCAATGCACTCCGGGAGGGGTTGTCATAGGAGTGGGGCCATCAAGTCCACTATGGAGATGAAGTTTTTGTGGGCGGACATGGGCATGTGGCATACATTTGGCCCGACAATGGGAAGCGGTGGGATGTTGAACGACTGGGGCATTTTGAGCAAGCATCATACTCTTCACCGGCTCAGGCAGTCGAGCGGAAGAATAGGCTTTACAATCACTACTTGGCGGCGTCGGCTTGCCGATATCTGAGTCGCTTGGTGGGCTTCCGATGGTTATGTTGTGGTGGCCGCTGTAGCCAAAGGCCCACGGACAAAGAGCCTGGCCTTGTATGGTTGGCTTATCGCCGAGAATTCTTGTTAGACTCCGCAAATCCTGAGGAGTGTTGAGAACTTTGGGCGGTCAAAGCGCCAGGCACAGCTAACTCACGATTCATTTAATGAGTGGGCTAGAACTGCTGAGTACAATTGGCAAAGCAGCTGCAGCACAATCACCTAGACTGCGCATGGTTCTGGTCAAGTTCTGTGCCTGGCCCACGGCTTCTGCCAAGGGTGGACTGAACATGGTTTCTCCCGCAGAAAAGGATCGCTCAAAAGTAAACGGCAGTGTGTCATCCGCAGTTCTGATTGACGTAAGCCTTCTCACAGCCCAGAACTAGAGAAACAGAACAGACTGCCTGACTGCTCATCGCACCCTCCCAGCTTCATGAACTGCTATGCAGGTTGTGGTCACAAAGAGTGTCTACACTGCCAAGGACGTGTTGCCTTGTTTTTGTCTTCACATTTTGCTATATACATTTTGTTTTAAAGCAAATTGTCACCGAGGATGTTTGAAAGAAGTTCACCACAAGCACCCACCCAGCAAAAAGAGCAACAATTCCCTCCCTCTCTGCTCCTCCCTCCCTCCCCTCCCTCCCCTCCCTCCCTCCCTCCCTCTCGCTCTCTCGCTCTCTTGCTCTCTCGCTCTCTCTCTCTCTCTCTCGCTCTCTCGCTCTCTCTCTCTCTGCCTCGCTCTGCCTCACGTTCTCTCCATCCCATCAGTGGAAGCTATCAACGCGTAAACTCTCGAGGGTCCAATACCTTGCAGTTCTGTCTGGTTTTTGCTGCTACTCAATCCTGTTCAGCTTCTGCCACCGAGGGTTCCTGTCGGTGTGACCACCCCCCAAAAACATTTGCGGTTAGATCACGCGAGGAGCTTTTCAAAGATGCCGATATGGTGGTCGAGAACGCTGCAGAGCTTGACTTTCGGAAGGACATGGTTGCCAAACTCTCCGGTTGGAAGATTGCAACTTGAGACCCAGAATTTGAAGCAGACTTGCCAGTCTTGGTTGACGACCCTGTTTGTGCTTGGCAAAGCTGGAAGTTCTTGGGCTTTAGTGGTAGGTCATCGCACATATTCGGCTGTGGGTCAAAACCTGGAGCCCCAAATCCTGGTGTATTGACATCCCTTGTAGAGGAATTTGTCATTTTCAGCGGTCAACCAGGGTTACAGGGCTTTGACCCACAGCCATTTGACCCACAGCCACATATAATATATATATATATATTATATGTATAGTTAATTATATACTATAATGCATATGTACATAATATTGACCTACACAACACACCCACACACACACAAACATTATATATTGCTCGGCAGGGGAATGTACATGCAGTATATTTACATTTTGTGAGGTCCAGAAATGATTCTCTACCCCTTTTTGTCCGATGTTGAAGGTGAAGGCGCTGACAGCACCTTTCGGCATTGTGAGCGTGCAAGAGCCATTGGTGTTGAATCACGGTCATTGGAGGGACAAGGCACAGGTGCTGGTACCTTAGCCTTACTTTATTTTTTGGGGGCACTCGTTGGTGCAAAATGAATTATAAAAAAATATATATACACACATAGTAGCAGTTTGTCTCTGTCTACAGGATGTTGCTGCTTTGCTCCCTGTCTTGGAGTTGGCATGAGAGGGGCAGATTCTGACAGATGCCAGGAACAATGGCGCCCTTTCTTCTCAAATTTCTCCGATCCTCTACCAAACTATTGCGAGAAATCTGTGGCATATATATCATCAAATGTGCAATCTCGTTGAGGAAGGGTGCAGGAGTCTCTGCCAGAACTCACTTTCGCGAAGGACTGCCGCGAGAACAAAAAGTGAGGATCAGCTGGTTGGATGGTTCCTAACCTCACGCCCGAGGCAACCTTTCACATCTCATCGCAGAGTTTCTGTATAGCTCCAGTTTTGGGCAAAGGCATTGGATCCCCAGCCCCCTAACATGGCCGAGCTTCATCAAACTGGCTTGCAACTCTTTTCCAACACTCAGGTCCTGGATGGCTGCCGTTTGACCTGTGGGCTTTGCGTCTCGCAAAGCGTCACCAGCACCACCGGCTCCGCTGGAAGCGGCACGACGAAGCCAGCCACGACGAGCCCAGACCGCAGGTCGACCACCAGGCATCAGGCATGAGCTTGATCATCGTGTGAGCAGCCGAAGATGTCTCAGGATTTAGATCCCTTTCTTTTCGGTTGGGGTGACGTAGTGACCGTGAAACTGGGGACTCAATTGCTGGAGTCACATGATGTACCCATCCTGGCAAGGGCGTGGGCGGGGAGCCAGGGAGGTATCGAAAAGGGCTGCCTGCTTTTTCTCAAGGCTTTCATGTGGTTCCTTCTTACCTCAATATATGAATAGCTATGATTTGAGCATAATTGAGCACAAGATGCGAAAGTCATGCACTGAGGACTGAGCTAGCCATCCCCTGGGCTGGGGATCCTGATGGCCTGCAGCTGGTTGTGGTCATTACGGCTCGCACCAATGTGATCCGTATCTTGGAGATATGCTTCTTCTGTGCACTGGCTGAGTTGGGGGAGTGAGACCCCAGTGTTGCACCTGTAATGGCATGGCTACATTTGCATGGCGCACCACCTCAGGTTGAGTGGTTCTTGAGGTTCGAACACGAAAAGTTTTGGGTCTGAAGTCTGAAGGGTATTGTGCGATCTCTTCTGATGGTTATGCTCACGAACTGGTTGTGAGACAAGGCACCATGGACGAAGAGCCAGCTGGGCCAGAGGGTGTAGGACATCTTACTGGAATCAGTTTCCTCACACGAGGCACGGACGGAAAGTGCTAAGAAACTCCGCTTTGTAAAAGTTCATCCACTGGGCTTGAAAATTGTCTTGGCGGACGTGAGATGAAATTCAATGCGACTATATGATACTATATGGGACTCAGACGGAGTCATGCACAGCCTGCACGTCCTAGAGTCAGCTGAGGTGAGGCCGTGGCCGGGCAGATTGAGCGCCTGAAAACGGATCCTCAGCAACTCTTGCTGGAGCTCTATGATCAGCTGGAGGCCATTTTCAGCAACCGGACCGTTAATTCAGAGCCAGACCAATGGGGTATGTGTGTAGAAGGCTGTTCGTGCAGATTCCTACGAGCCTTTGGGGTTTGTGGAGCCTCTTCCTGTGGGGTTCCTGGCAAAGTGTTTTCCTTGTTCTCTCTCCTTTTCCTTGATGCCGCACTTTGCAGAGGTTCGTCAAACCGTGTTTGACATCGAAGACCTTCGTCGAGTCGGGGCGGAGGGTTCGCAGTCTGCGCGACGATCCAGGATCTGTTTGGGGGTATCCCATTCGTTCTACCTGTCATCAAGGGAGCGAAGGGTTGATGCCTAAAGTCTAAAGCATGTCAAAGCCATGGGAAGCCCATGGAAAGCTTGCGACGTTGGTTCGTCTGTCAGACACCTCGTTGCTCCTGCCTTCATCCCAGCCGTCGAGGCTGTGGGATTATCTGGTGCCTCGATTCCAGGCGCCCAGGGGGCGGGCACAAGCTGCTTGAGGGGATGTGGACTTGTGAATCCTTTGTTGAGATGATTACACTGGAATGGATCACTGGACGGACCAACTAGCCAGCTGAGAAGAACTGAAGATCATCATTTCCCCGCGGCCATTTGCAGGGGTTGGGTGGCTCGTGTGAGTGGCTCTGGTTTTAGTTTGTCGCAGCGTGATATCGGTGTGGCTTAATTCGGATTCCGATGGCGGATTTGCGCCTGGAGAAGTTGGAAGAGGCCAGCTGAAGTGGTTGAAGTTGGAATGTTTGGTGGGGATTGATATAATATATATATATATACACATATTTGCTTGGGGCCCCCGATTCGTGGGCATGAGGCAAAACAGACATCCCAGTTGTTCTTTTCGGTGTTTTGAAGGCTCCACACATCGAACTTCTTGGGCCATCAGGGAGGCTTCCAAGTCGCCGAAGAATCCCAGAACACTTTGCTGGGTATGACCCCAGCACTGCAACTATACATCTATATATGCAACTATACCTTGGATTGTGTGTTTTTTTCCCGCAACTGCTGCAAGACATGTCATTTCAAGAGTTCCTGAACTGGCCCTTGGAACCATAACGGGCCATTTTGCACCATTTGTTGCTGCAATTGGGGACCGTGGTGTAGAGGATTCTTTTCGCCTACAATTATGAAACCTAACCCACACACAGAAGAGGTTCGAGAGATGAACAATACAAAAACACATCAAAATACACACAAACACAAAAACAAACCTAGACTCAGCCCAAAACCAGAACTCCAAACCAAACACGAAAACACACTCAACTGGAGACTCAAGTAGCAGAAGGTTGAACAGAGAAAACCAAAAATCCGGACTCAGCAAGAAAGGATTTGAGTCTGGGTTTGAGTCTGGATTTGAGTCTGTCTGTTTTTTGAGTCTGGGTTTGAGTCTGGATTTGTTATTTTTCTGAGGTTCCAGCCCACCCTAGCCTAGCCCCCCAAAAAGCAGCGGGTGACTCAACACCAAACTCAAACTGGAACTCAAGCACTTGAAACACACACCAGACTAAACAATTTATTCACACTGTTGGTTGTTTTTTTTGTTTTTTACTTGACTCCTTGCTTGTTTTTCCTTCCATACAGTAGACCTGTTCTCCTGAGTGTGGATTTGTTTTTCCTATTTGTTTTTTGGAGTTTTTTGTTTTCTGCTTTTTTTGGGGCTCTGTGTGTTGATTTCAACTTCATAAGATTCATAAGCCTAAAAGGAAGAAGATGAACGAAAGGAAGGTAGGGGCCCGTTTTAATAATGCACCTTATTATATAAATGGGTCCTCCAATTGCTTTGTTTCAATTCTTGGTGCTCATATGCAAAAAACAACACCCTTGGCCCTTGGCCCTTTTTCTGTTGAGTCAGGTCACGTTGACATGCGTCTCATGCAGCTCAGCTGCGCATGCCAGGCTGTGAAGCAGCTCAGCCAGAATGTGGCGATGCAGGAGGAGCTGCCGGCAGCCCAGTAGTCGAGAGAGAGAGAGAGAGAGTGGAGGAAGCACCGCTGAACGAAAGGATCGAATGCCACACATCTCCCATCAGGAGACGCCTTTGGATTTGTCCACTTTTCATTAGCAACCGGCCAGGTCCACCACATGATGTGAGATCATCCTGACCAGTCAAACCCGAATGTTGCGACGGATGTTTGAGGAAGTTTGGATGATTCGCCTAAGAGAAGGCCTCACATTTCCCAAGAGAGGGCGGATGAGGGCAGGAGAAGAGAACGCAAACAGCAGGTCTGCAATTGTACTGTTGAACAGTCCCTGTCAAGATGAGCTTAAATACGCCCCACAAATGGACCCATGGGTTCTGATTTTTTCACCTTCCCACAGGGGTGATGGTTTTGAGACATGCGGTGTTTGTTTGAGGCGCCAACTTCGAGAGCGGGTGGCAATGCTAGAGTCGCAGGCGTCGCCTGTCCATGATGTTGAATGGCAATGTTTTCTGGTGTTAAGGCTTATATAAATATATAGCTCATTATAATAGCTGCTCTATTTGCATTTTAAGGAATCCGGAACCACTTGGATTGGCACAAATTACGTTTGGGAGATGTTGTCCAGGCTTTGCATTTGCATGTTGCCTGATATTACTACTAGTAACAAGAAGCTACTAGGGGCTCCTGGCATCGCTACGAACGGAGCAAGGACGCTACGATCGGGGCTCCTGGCCGTACTACTAGGAGCAAGTAGCTACTAGTAACAAGAAGCTACTAGTAACACCTTATGTATTGACCACATGGCCACATGCAACCTGCGTCATCGACCCTCCAACCGCGCAGGCGAAGCTACCTGCCAGTGAGGAGAGGCAAAGCGAGTCCCTGGCGGAGTCGTCTGACACTTGACACGACAAGCCGCAGGATGGCGCTGATGCTACAGTCACCTCCGTCGATCCTGTAGCCCAATGACTCACCTGGACGCCCGACCACTGCGAGTGCCGGGTGTTTGCGATCTGTTCCGCTCCAAGGAAAGCAGTATGGCACCAGAATGTTGTGAAGCTGGGATGGCTGGGCACCTTGGTGTCTCCGGGCTTGTGGGAAGAGGATGCATGCCTACAACTTGGTAACAAGATGTGTCAAGATCGTGACACAGACATAGCAAACATCAAACTCTGCGGTAGGTTATTTAGTTGTCAGTATATGATTATGTCAGTATCTTAAATTTGTGCCGGAGCAGGTTTGCCTGCCTCGTGTGTGAGGCATGTTCGCAACAGTCATCAAACATTTCATTTTCCGCATGAATGACACCCACGGAGTGGCAAGTTGCTGGTCTTGATCGGCTGCGTGATGCCCCCAAACATCCCGCTGCCCAGGGACGGCCCAGCGGCCCAAGGTATGCCAAGAAGGCAAGTAAGAGCTTGCGCGAGTTCCAAGACACTCACACGAGCTTTACTTTGGTGGAGTCCTTCTGGGATGCCACGCTCTTTGCAGGACGGCCGTGCTGGGAAACACACGGTATGTGAGCGGTACCGGTTGTAGCACCAGCGCTGGGTATGATGTTGGGTCATGTTGGCTCCCCATGAGGTTTTGTACACCTGGCATTTGGTCACGTTTGCCTCAGCAACCTTGCACCGTGATGCCTCACCCTCAATGTTCAGAATCTCAAGGATAAAGGAGCAATTGAAGCTTTGCAGTGAGTGATTCAGGGCTTTGGTGGCAAGGAGGCAAAGAGTCCTATCCCCAACATGTCTCCAACATGTGTCATTTACAACGTGCCGTGAGGACTCGATGAAGTTGGACTGGCAGGCGCAGGGAGAAGGGAGAGCGAACAGTGTGAGAGCACGACGTGTGAGGTGATGTTCTTCTGTCACTCTGTGGCGAACTCGTTCGGAGGTACAACAAAAACGCGGGTTATGACCTCCCCTGCGGACTCCCCCCCATCACCGCAAGTTGGCGGAGGATCCTTCATGATCTTCTTCGGAGTGTCAGCCGCATGGCGCAACCGAAGCAAGTGACTTGCGGAGGGGTTGATCTCCGTGTGCATTGATCAAGCGCTTGCCCATAGAGCCATAGAGCTTTTGCAGATACTGGTCGGAATTCTCGGTCCGTCCTCCGTGGCCCCAGACTGCGAGGTTTTGAACACCTCACCGGTAGAGTTTTGCCAAAAAGAGGGAGAGAAAGAGTGAGAGCCTGTCGGGCCCGACAAGGATGATAGCCTAAAAGGCTGGGCGTAGGTATGATGGCCCTAACGGTTTGGCTGGGGCAGATGTGGGCAATCAAGGTGAGCTTATTCTTGCAGCTGCTCTTCTGCTACATTTTGATGAGTCGCTGAGCTGTGTCTGGTCGTGGCAGTTCAAGCAACTAAACTTGCCGTCAAAATCCTTTGGAGGAATTGGAGTATGAATGGGACTGGGTAACTTGCTGTCATGATCTCGTCATTGAATTGGGTGCTTTCCTTGTTTCTTCGGTGGTGGGGGTCTATGGCAGTTGAGTCTAGAGGGACAAGGCAGTGTGAAGGGTGGTCTCTAAGAGTGATCTTGAAAGAAGGCGACCAAGCCACACTACAGAGAAGATCAGAGAAGACTGTGAACGCCAAGGATGCTTCACTACTGGAGATGGGAAGTACGCCTTGCACCTGGGCTCAGACTTGCTGGTGGCGTCGTTTCCACAGTTGTTGCTGCAGATGTCTGGTGCCCAAATCCCGATCCCCATGAATCATTGTCCAAAACGCCGCCTGGGATCATTATGATTATCATTATTCTGATTCTGATTATGATGATAGTTGGACAGTTGAAGTTGGCAGCCGATCCTTACGGAGGACCCTTCGCAGGTGCTTTCGGGAGTAAGTCCCCTAGTCCATTGGCCCCCTGGTCCTTTGGCCTCCTGGTCCTTTGGTCCCCTGGTCCTTTCCTGGTCCGCTGGCCTCGTGGTCCATTGGTCAAACGGCGCGAGATTTGTAAATTTGTGAAAGTCATAATGTTCTATAGTGTTATTTTGATATGTTTGCAAAATTGGCGGGAACTCTGAAGACAAAGACCTATTAAATTAACTTTTCTTGCATGGAAGAGGGTGCCGCGCTCTCCCCCTTTTCACTGGTCCTTGTGTCACTTTCTGGATGCCCTTCATGGATGGGGCGGGCAATGTGGCGTAGTTTGCGGTGATGATCTGACCCTGGTGGTGCCTTCTGACCGTGGTGGCTTTTGATTTGTCGTTCGCCGTGATGGGTAGGTGCCCTCCCCGCCACCCCACATCTCCACACCAAACATTGCAACATCTTTGTTGCCCTTTGGTGGATGATGCGGGCCACCTTTGTTGCGTCCAACACTTCTATCATCTTAGTTCTATCCTTTGGTTCTGTTTTGGTTTTCGTTGCGCGAGGGGCTGCCTCATCCTTTTTGTCGCCGCCCCGCTGTCTCTTTCTTGGTTCCTTTCTGGTTGCTCACAGGGAGCACTTTTTGATGATCTTGTTTTCTTTTCGATCCCCATCATTGTTTTTCATTTTATGTTTACTTTTTAAATCCCTCCCCCGTTTCCTTCGCTGAAGCTTCGCAGCACCCGCCTCGGGTCGCCGGAAGTGGCCTCAGGGGATATCTGAAAGACTGGCGGATCCTCTATGGTCACAACGTTGACAGTTACGATGAGACTTCAGGCTATCCGGGGAGTTGAGGAGTTGAGATCGAATGAGCACGTCCCATCTGCGAGTTGCCGCTCGTTTGCGTTGCGTGATGTTAATTGAGATGAGAAGATTGGATCAGTCAGTTGAGGTGGTGATGCGTCTCGAGTTTGGGGTGCCAAGTCAGCCAAATGACCAGGTCATTCGTGGTAGTTCGAATCAATTTATAAATAAGGAGACAGTTTTTTTTGACACCGTTTCTTGTGGTCCAGGGCAGCCTTTTTTTTTGGCGTTGCAACCTCAGTCAACTAACATCATAGCAAATCATATCACAGAAGTTTGGCAAATAGCTGTGCACTTCTTCGATGAACTCTTCTACTCTGAGTATCTCTGGGTGACAGTTAAGACCTTTCTCAAGCCTTGCTGAGCCGCCAGGTGCGTCCTTGGTGAGCAAGATCTGCGATGGCAACATCTTTGATCAGACTTTTTGGAACAATGCCTTGCTGTCTGAAGTCAACTTGTACTTGACGGAGGTGTTCCCTCAAGCTCCAGGCCCGATCGGCCTTGCAGGTCGGCTGCTAGATCGGTGAGACGGACACAGTTTGACACCGTTGCACGAGCATGACACTCCCCATGGCATGGAAAATTCGTCGCTACCTTCCAAGGATTCCACTTCGTTAGTGAGTTGGGATTCCACCGCAAACCATCCCACTGACCCACCGAGATGCCAGGCCTCAGTGGTCTCACCGTCGGGGTCGTGCTGTGCTCGATGGCCGTGCTGATTTGGGCCACTTGTTGGCGCTCAGTGGGCAGAAATGAATGCAGGACACAGAGGACACAGCGCTTTCCAACTGTCCGGTGATATGTTTGAAGTGTTTTCAGAGGAACCTGGAAGAGATCTTCCAACATCTCCAACTGGCAGGCTGCCCCGCCGAGCAGACTATTAGTGACACTATAGTGCTATGTCACGTGTAATTTACGCTGACTGAGTGTTTCACGATGTCGCAAGCAGTTGCTGAATCTGCGTACTTTTCCATCACTTAGCTCCAACACTTCCCACTTAGCTCCAACACTTCCTTTCCTGACCAGAACCTTGTCGCAAAAGGCCAAGGCCGGCTAAGCTTCCCAGAAAATACGGTGCCACACCAGCGACCATCAGGGAGTTGTGGCACTGCACATTCAAAATCCTAGGCCTGCCACATCAGTTTTGAGCTGCAGAGCGTGGGCTCCTTCGGAATGGCAATTTGCCACCTGCCCCGGGGGAACACGCGAGTTTCAGAAGACAAGGTGGGAGTCATGAAAACATGCATTTCATGTGTCACCAAAGCTTGGCATGGTATGGATATGTGGCATTGCAGGTAGGATCTTCACTGCAAGCATGGTAGGACTATCATTTGAACCTCCTATTTGGTAGGGCTGGGGCTGGGAGCTCAAGCGGTTTAAGCGGTTGTTGAAGTTCTTCTCAACCTGTTCATTAAGGAGGAATATGTCTAGAATCCAGATTTGGAAATAAGCTTTCCTTCAAATGAAAGCTGTTTTTGCAGCTGAGAGAGGACAGTCACAGAGAAGTCACTTGGATTTGAATTCCAGGGAGCGGCCGATTTGTTCAAGATAGATCAATCATTCTCTCCACGTTTTGCAGGGTTTTTTTTGCCCTCATTTGCCCTCCTCACTTACTTATATCGTCTATAGTCTATAGTCTATAGTTATGTATTATGAGGCTTACGCCTGACAGCCGGGCGCCGGCCTATTTGGGTTTGGGTATGTGGAGGGCTGGTTCCCCGCTCTCTCTCTCTCTCTCTGTCTCTCTGTCTCTTTGTCTCTCTGTCTCTCTCCCTCTCCCTCTCTCCCTCTCTCTCTCTCTTTGAGACTTGGTGGGGCCTATATTGAGCAAAGTTAAGCTATCTGGTGCGCATCTTGGCCCTAGGCTGGGCCAAGTTGCGCCCATGTGGTCTATGTTGGGCACATCTTGGGCCCAAGTTGAGCCTATGTTGGGCCTAGGTTGGCCTATGTTAGGCCTATGTTGGCCTAGGTTGGGCCTATGTTGGCGTATGTTGGCCCCATCTTGGCCTATGTTGGCCCTATGTTGAGCCATCTTGGAGGCTATTTTGGGCATATGTTGAGCATATGTTGGCTATCTTGGGCCTATGTTAGGGAAATGTTAAGCAACTTATGTTCCCCACACCCACGAAATGTCGATTAAGCCTGTCCGCGCGGCACGCATAACTGACACCACGGGCACCCTGTCGTGGACGCCGAAGGCCACGAAACACTGTAAAAAACGATGTTTTTGAACATTTTTCGAACATCCAGCGCAAGATACATATAAATCTGTCGGGCGGATTCGGGCGGGGGTCGGGCGGGGGTATCCCCGCGGTCCAACAAAAGGGTCGGCGGCAGGGGCGGCGAGCGTATATAACCTTCGGTTACCAACCGAAGGCCTCCGGCAAGGGAACGTGCGCGTGGCCGGCGCCCGGATTTATGAGGCTTACGCCTGACAGCCGGGCGCCGGCCCACTAGGGTCTGTAAACAGTAGAATGGAGGCGGCGCGATAAACGATCTAGGTATCTTTTGCTGTCTCTCCGTCTCTCCCTCCCCTCTCTCTGTCTGTCTCTGTCTCCCTGTCGGTCTCTATGTCTGTCTCTGTCTCTGCCTCGGTCTCTGTCGGTATCTGTCTCTGTCTTCTCTGTCTCTATGTCTGTCTCTGTCTGTCTCTGTCTCTGTCTTCTCTGTTTCTGTCTCGGTATTCTCTGTCTCTGTCTTCGCTGTCTCTGTCTTCGCTGTCTCTGTCTCTCTCTCTCTCTCTCTCTCTTTGAGACTTGGTGGAGCTATCTGGTGCGCGTCTTGGCCCTAGGTTGGGCCAAGTTGAGCCCATGTGGTCTATGTTAGGTACATCTTGGGCCCAAGTTGAGCCTATGTTGGGCCTAGGTCGGCCTATGTTAGGCCTATGTTGGCCTAGGTTGGGCCTATGTTGGGCCTATGTTGGCGTATGTTGGCCTATGTTGGCCCTATGTTGAGCCATCTTGGAGGCTATGTTGGGGATATGTTGGCTATCTTGGGCCTATGTTAGGGATATGTTAGGCAACGTCTGTGCCCAACACCCACGAAATGTCGATTAAGCCTGTCCGCGCGACACGCGTAACTGACACCACGGGCACCCTGTCGTGGACGCCGAAGGCCACGAAACACTGTAAAAAACGATGTTTTTGAAC